CAATTTAACAACATTGAAACGGACCAATTGGAGCAGTTTTCAGAGCGACCGCAACTTGATGTAGGAGTGCGGTCCCCCCGCCCACCAATATTGATTGACAGGATCGTCACCTTATCCTTAGTTTGTTGTTTCTGGTCTGCCTTTTTCAGCGTGTGAGTCAAAGCGATGTCACTAAAGGAACACCCCTGCTCTATTTTTAGATGTAAGGCTCATTGGGCTCAACAAAAGATCAACATTCACCGCAGTATCGCTCCAATCGGAATTATTGTTTGTATCTTTTGGTAGGTTTGCAAACATGTGTACTTTTCATTGCATCTACCTTAAACTTAACCCGGTCGCATCACAGAAGCTCCCTGTGATCTTAACTAGGTGCAGCTGGAAAAGTGCAAGCGCGTTGCTTTATGTGCGCACCTCTCCATTGGAATAATAATAATAATAATAATAATTCGTTACATTTATATAGCGCTTTTCTGGGCACTCAAAGCGCTTTACACAATGGGGGGGATCTTCTCATCCACCACCAGTGTGCAGCATCCACCTGGATGACGCGACGGCAGCCATTTTGCGCCAGACCGCACACCACACACCAGCTGATTGGTGGAGAGGAGACAGAGTGATGATATGCCAATCATGATATGGGGAGGGTTAGAAGGCCATGATGGACAGAGGCCAGTGGGCAGATTTGGCCAGGATGCCAGGGTTAAACCCCTACTCTTTTTCGAAGGACATCCTGGGATTTTTAACGACCACAGAGAGTCAGGACCTCGGTTTAACGTCTCATCCGAAAGACGGCGCTCACTGAGCAGTATAGAGTCCCCGTCACTATACTGGGGCATTAGGACCCACACAGACCGCAGGTTGGGCACCCCCTGCTGGCCTCACTAACACCACTTCCGGCAGCAACCTAGCTTTCCCATGTGGTCTCCCATCCAGGTACTGACCGGGCACACCCTGCTTAGCTTCAGTGGGCAACCATGTGAGAGTTGCAGAGAGCTAGCTGCCGGCTAGTAGTAAAATAACGAACTTGCCTGCAGGTCGCACACCAGAAGCGCCTCTTTGTGTGGTGCGGCACTGTTCATTTCGGAGTTCTGGGCGTTGGTTTCTGTCGGGGTGCACGTAGCGGCACTTCGGGCCGGTGGCTGGGCGCCGCGGGCGGCCACTGACATGGAGCGCTGTTGTGTTTGACCTGGTGGAAGCCTGTGTTTGGAGTTCTGGAATGCATGGCGCTGCGTGGCGCGACGATTCAGTACACTTTATGTTTCTGCTGCGCCACTGAGAGTGTCTGGTGTGCAGTGTTGCGGCTTCGAGTGGCGCATCCGGTGCCTCAGTCAAAGTTAATTCAGTGTGCATGGTTATAAGTCACGGTGTATAAGCTCGGCACTTGAAACTAGCACACAGTTGGCTGTAAAACTATAAAAAGACACAAATAATTTTGCACTCTCTGCTTGGTCTCCAAGTCGTACATGTACAGCTGAATGCTGATCCTCTCATGTAGCTTTAGCTTCTCTCTGTGTGCCTGTCTGTTGCAAACACAGGGACACTTCGAGAGCTTGGGGGCTCTTGGCTCCGCCCCCATGTTACGTTGGGCTGGAAGCCGAAACTAATTTTTTTATATGAAGCAATACACCCCTAAAAGAGCGAGCCGTGTACACAGCCCCAACATGACACTTTTTAACACATTATAATAAAAACATCTGAATTGTGTGTTGAACTGAACCTTAACTGGCACACTGAACCATAATAATAATATTAAATCATAAAAAAGGGGTAAACTATGTACCCTTTAAAGGGGCTAATAATATTGACCTTAAAATAGTTTTTAAAAATTAATCAACAGACACACTGTGAAAATTATCTTGCTCTGTTAAACATCATTTGGGAAATATTTAAAAAAGAAGAAAAAATGTAAAATGTAAAGGGGGGCTAATAGTTCTGACTTCAACTGTATATATATATATATATATATATATATACTACATACACAAAATGCTTGAACGAAGATTCAAATGGCATAAAAAAGATGCTGTTTATTCTTAATGTGTAGACTTGCTCCAGAAGAAAAAATATTATCAGACACACTGTTAAAATTTTCTTGCTCTGTTAAACATCATTTGGGAAATATTTAAAAAAGAAAAAAAAATTGTAAAGGGGGGCTAATAGTTCTGACTTCATCTGTATATATATATATATATATATATATATATATATACTACATACACAAAATGCTTGAACAAAGATTCAAATGGCGTAAGAAAGATGTTGTTTATTCTTAATGTGTATAATATATATTCATTTATTGAAAAATGTGTATATTATTTTTTAAGCGTAAACGTAACATATTTCTTATGCCATTCAAATCTTCAAATCGTTCAAGCATTTTGCATCTTCAATTATTTATTTTTTTATATTTATCGAAAGAAAAAATTACTTTAAAAGAAGACAAACAGACCATGTGGTTTGTTTGTTTGTTTGTTTGTTTAGATTTATTAATCCCAAAGGGAAATTCACGTCACTGCAGAGCTCTCTATACCATAAGATAAATAAAATAAGGTACATACATAAAAAGGCAACGATATTAATAAAATTAAGGTGTGCAGTATGAATGTAGTTTCAAACAACAAGTAGACACGAGTCCGTATCTACAATATTAATGCTATTACAATTCAGCATAATTCATCTAGCATGCGTTTGGTTATACTTTCTGGTCACTGTTGGTAAAAATGACTTTCTGTATTGTTCCCGGTAACACCAAGGCTGAATTAATCTTGAGCTTTGCTTGGTTGCCTTTAATCTTTATGTAAAACTTTATGTGAAGCATGTATGATTGTATTTGCTTGTGGTATGCTTTAAATAATCAATTATATATCAATTGTGTTTGTTTTACATTCAAGTTCAGATCAACAAGCATGTAGACCCAGTAAACAGACAGCTTTTTGTTTTGAAACAGGCTGCAATATTCTAAATTATAGGATTATAATCCTCTGAATGCCATTATTGACTCATTTAAATGTCATTTCGATAAATCAGTCAATAACAAAACATACTAATGACAACAATATCACGTGAGACTCTGTTGTTTACCAGGAACAATGCACACCTCCCTGAGAATGGCTAATGGCTGTGGTCAGTCTGTTGCTTCTGCCCACAAATACAAACAGCCAATCACCTGCTGCTGACTTCATGCCAGTTCAGGCTGACTGCAATCCAGACTGCCAATCACTGACTTACCCTGATGCTGTATGACATCAGCTGCTGTTCTCTTATAGACATCACTGTAGTGTAGTGATGATATTTCTGTCTTGTCATTCTGTTAATCTGTCTGTCTGATTTTACCTTTATGTCTCTTTCAGTGTGTGTGTGTGTGTGTGTGTGTATATATATATATCTGTCTTTCCATCTATCCATCCATCCATCCATCCATCCCATCTATGTGTATGTCTGTCTGAGTCAGTATCTATCTATCTATCTATCTATCTATCTATCTATCTATCTATCTATCTATCTATCTATCTATCTATCTATCTATCTATCTGTCTGTCTGTCTGTCTGTCTGTCTGTCTGTCTGTCTGTCTGTCTGTCTGTCTGTCTGTCTGTCTGTCTGTCTGTCTATCCATTTGTCTGTCTGTCTGTCTGTCTGTCTGTCTATCCATTTGTCTCTATCTATCTATCTATCTATCTATCTATCTATCTATCTATCTATCTATCTATCTATCTATCTATCTATCTATCTATCTATCTATCTATCTATCTATCTATCTATCTATCTATCTATCTATCTATCTGTCTATCTGTCTGTCTGTCTGTCTGTCTGTCTATCCATTTGTCTGTCTATCTATCTATCTATCTATCTATCTATCTATCTATCTATCTATCTATCTATCTATCTATCTATCTATCTATCTATCTATCTATCTATCTATCTATCTATCTATCTATCTGTCTGTCTGTCTGTCTGTCTGTCTGTCTGTCTGTCTGTCTGTCTGTCTGTCTGTCTGTCTGTCTGTCTGTCTGTCTATCCATTTATCTATCTATCTATCTATCTATCTATCTATCTATCTATCTATCTATCTATCTATCTATCTATCTATCTATCTATCTATCTATCTATCTATCTATCTATCTATCTGTCTATCTGTCTGTCTGTCTGTCTGTCTATCCATTTGTCTGTCTGTCTATCTATCTATCTATCTATCTATCTATCTATCTATCTATCTATCTATCTATCTATCTATCTATCTATCTATCTATCTATCTATCTGTCTGTCTGTCTGTCTGTCTGTCTGTCTGTCTGTCTGTCTGTCTGTCTGTCTGTCTGTCTGTCTGTCTGTCTATCCATTTATCTATCTATCTATCTATCTATCTATCTATCTATCTATCTATCTATCTATCTATCTATCTATCTATCTATCTATCTATCTATCTATCTATCTATCTATCTATCTATCTATCTATATGTCTGTCTGTCTGTCTGTCTGTCTGTCTGTCTGTCTGTCTATTTGTTTGTCATCATCTGTTAATCTCTACTTCTGTTTGTTTGTCTGAAAGTCTTTCAATCTGTCTGTGTGCGTCTTTTTGTCCGTCTAATTATTTTTTTCAATCAATCTATAATTCTATCTGTCTGTCTTTTTATCTAGAGTATCATCAACATCATTAGCTGCTTTTCATTGTATATTGTTGTGCCTATATCGTTCTGTCTTTCTGTCTGTCCAACTGTTTGTTTCTCAATCTGTCTGTCTTTCCCTTTCTTCCGACTGACCACGTTTCGACTCAGCTACTGTACAGCAGCAGCAGGAGCAGATGAAAGCGGGCGGGGGCGGGGCCACAGAGAAAGAGGGACGGAGCAGACAACGAGAGTCCGGGAAAAGTCAAACGGGAGGCGGTTCCTCCGTGTGTGCGCAAACCACGCTTGGCCCGTCCTCCTCCAGACGGGCCCTCCCTCCCCCACCCCCTCGGGCCACCCGCTCTTGAGTTGGAGACTCCTGGCTCCCGTTCGCCTCACAGTCCGGGCAACAGAGTGACACGGGAATGGACACAGAAGGGAGTCAGAGCAGCCTGTCGTCCTCCACGCAGGACTCCCCGCACGACCCCTGGTAAAAGCCTCCTTTCCGCGCGCTCCACTTGACTTTTCCCTCGCGAGAGGAAGATCTATTAATAGATTTACAAACCTGAGAGTTCTTGGGACCTGGAGGGAAAGAGACCACCGCAGACAAAAGACACAAGCGCGGGGTCCCTTTACGAAAGAGCCAAAATGGAAACAATGTAACGGCCAGGAGCCTCACTGTTACATTGTTTCCATGTTCCCTCGTTCCAGGACGCGCGCTGTTACATTGTATCCATCTGCTAGGTTTGGAATTGTTACATTGTTTCCGCCGTGTTCTATTAGAACGTTCTAAATCGCGCGTTCGAAAATGGAACGAGCGAAACTTCTGACTTTAAACGGAGACGGGAATTCATTTGGAAATAACGGCGTCCATCCATCCATCATGGCCGAAAATGCACTTTCCACTTGATTTGTTGTGATTCATTGCTGTATTTACATATGCATCAGTAATCAGATGTCTGACCCGACTCTCTTTTTCACCTTTCAGCAAAATGTTCATCGGCGGGTTGAGCTGGCAGACGACACAAGGTGAGACACGCGTGATTCTTCCGTCCTGCGTGCTACTTCCACAAAAAAAAGTCTCGCGCATGGGTTGCTAGGAGCCTACAGGATCAGTTTGTACTTTCAAAACGTTAGACCTACGATCTTTTGCCTAGAAACCTAAAGAAAACACCTATTCCAGGGTGAAGTCTCACGTATATAAAAGCGTTTCATTCATATATGTCAATACTTGTTTGTTATAGGTGAACTTCTCTTCCCAGAAAGCTTTATATTTAGTGAGCTCGTAGTGATTTGTGGTGAAGCACTGATGTGGTTGAATAAATGCCGTGTGGAAAATCTCTGCGAGTGCATGCATGTGTTGTTATTCAAATACTCAGCTTAACTTAGAACATTATAATAAGAATGCTCACCAGCGCTTTATAATGAGCACTATTGTTGAGATGCAAAGTGGTCACAGATGGGCAGTCAGCGCTGAGCTGTAGTAGCAGCAAGCTTTTGTTTAAGGTACAACAATTTGTGTCACTAAGCTGGGGTTATGAATTAAATTGATCATATGTGTGTGTGTGTGTTTTTCTTGTTACAGAGGGATTGAAGGAATACTTTTGTAAATTCGGCGAGGTGAAGGAGTGTATGGTGATGCGGGATCCGGTTACGAAGCGGTCGAGGTAAGGGGGAGGCGCGCGCACATCTACTGCTGACTTGTTTGTTTGTGTGTTTGTGTTTGTAACTTAATTCTTCTCATGCGTAATATCGCGCAGGGGGTTTGGATTTGTCACCTATGTTGACCAGACTGGTGTGGATAAAGTTTTGGCCCAAAACAGACACGAGCTGGATTCGAAAACTGTGAGTACTTGATCATTTTCTTCGACTATGCTGATGATTAGCGTAAATACACTCTGTTTACAGTGCGTACGTTGGTTTCAGGTCATTCAGAAAAAAAAATGCAGTGCTATGGCTTCGTCCCTCCTGCATCTTGTCTTGATGTTCGCTTCATATTCAGCAGCTTATCTTTTTTTCCTTAGTGGGATAAATGCTTTGCAGAGGTTTCCGTTTCCTACGGTCATTTGAACGCGCATGCACGAGGCGCGCGGTTCCAGCAGGTCTGTCTGGCGCACTGCGCGCCGCATGAAAGCGTTCTTTCTCGCTTTTCATCGCTATGGCAACCTGGGGAGCGAAACAGGGCAGAATCAAACTTTTTAGGACTCGAACAACATTCAGCAAAAGTGTTTGTAGATGCGTGTATGAACTACAAAGAAGACAGGAAAGTGGGGCCTAATGCTATTACAGAAAGTAGCATGGTTATTAAAATCATATACAGTGACACTAATATTACAAGCACTTTCATATCACTTTTCTACCAAAACGTGAAGCTGGCACAATATCACAACCAGTATTTGTCTTTTTACTAGGCACGAGCTGGTCTCCTGACATTTTATCTATCAGATTATGCTACCAACACTGTATTTCTATGGTTCTGAGGTCGGGGTAAGGGCATAGAATTGGCATAGATGGAGGGCACGTGTCCCCACCAATATCTAACAATTACTAATATGTCCCTACCAATAATTTAATCGACTTCAAAATAAAATAATGCTCCATCAACCCTAAGTAGCCTACGAGTGTACACAGCAGGGCCGGAGTGGGACTCCTTTTCAGCCCTGGAGTTTCAAGCCTTAGATTGGCCTACCTCAGTTCATCATCAGTTATTAAAATAAGGTCATTTCCAATTCAGTTTCTAATGACATTATCACGTCTTTTTCAAGGAAACAGCTGCTTTAGAACTTCAAATGTTTTTCATAAATATAAGAAGATTAAAGGGTAGCTAAATCTCCAACACTATTCTTTAAAACATCCCAATGTCCTTTCCTGCAACATCTGAACATATATTTAGTGCAAAATTCTTTATAGATATTCAGTCCTTTGTAACAGTGGTCACACAAAGAATAAAAATAAAATATGTACACCTATATAATTAACCCAAACAGTATTATACACCTTAAAACTAAAAATGAAAAAAAAAATACTCAGGTGAGGTTCTAACTCAGGTCGTCGTCGGCGTAACACAACGTGCTGACCACTGGACCACAATAGCACTGTTATGCTGGTGCGTTTGGAATAAAAAAATAAGTATTGCACTGTAACCTGCAAGACTCTTTTCACCACAGTATTGCTTTCTATTGATGGCTTTTTCTTCCCTTTTTCGATTTCTGATCAAGTTATGTCAGATTTATTAATGTAGTGAATCATCTGATTGTCATTGAGCAGGTGTAAAAGTCACTTATATTAATTATTCAAATTCTTATATTCACTAAGAAGCCGCTGTTTGGGGTCAAACAATAATTACACCGCAGGGTTCAACGCTAAGGATTTTTTCTACTGGCCCGATCGGACCAGTGGTTCAGATTTTTACTTGCCCTGTAAATGTTTTCACTGTCCCTACCAAAAAAAAATGTTAATAGCTATTTCTTAGCCACAAATTAAAAAACAGAAAAATGTGTCAATGTTTGTAAATCTAGAATTTAAATATTTAAAAAATGTTAATAATTGTACAATGAGCAAAATTCAAAGTGTTTTGCAAACAAAAGCAGCAAAATGTGCAGGCATTTTATTGCAAAACAAAAGATGGCTTGCCTGCCAAACTGACGTCAAACTGTACAAAACATCACTGTACAGAACATGGACAAGTAGTCACAGGCAAATTAAACTTTAGTGACAGGGCATCAGTGGCCCAATCGGGCCAGTAACAATCCTGTCTACTGTCCCGAGTATCTCACGCGGTGGCCCCGGGCCATTGGGCAGTCCTTATTGTTGAGCCCTGCACCGTAAAAATTGTATCATCATTTAGTCCTGACAACATGTGTTTTTAGGTCATTGTAACTTATTAAACTAAGTTAATCATGTTCTAACTTAATTTTATAAGTTATGCAAGCTATTTTAAGTCAGTTTAACATAATATAAGTTCAATGGACTCATAAGGTTAATTTAATTCAGCTTAAAAATTTAAGGCAGCCAGGATTTTTTACAGTGTACGTCATCATTAACCGGCAGGCTGCATTTTGCTCAAGGGGCTGCGAGAAAATAAATAAAATAAGAGCGGAGCTGCGGCAAAATAATGAATGAAAAGAGTGAGGCTATGGTCAAATAAATAAATCAATGAAAAAAGTGCGACTGCTGAGAGTGCAAGCAGCTCGGGACACCGGCCCTCGAGGCCAAAAAATGGACCAATCTCTGATTCCTGCATATACAGTTGAAGTCAGAATTATTAGCCCACATAAATTATTAGACCGCTTTTTTATTTTTTCCCCAATTTCTGTTTAACATAGAGAATTTTTTTTTTCAGCACATTTCTAAACATAATAGTTTTGATTAACTCATTTCTAATAACTGATTTATTTTATCTTTGCCATGATGACAGTAAATTTTACTAGATATTTTTCAAGACACTTCTATACAGCTTAAAGTGACATTTAAAGGCTTAATTAGGTTAACTAGGCTGGTTTGGGTAATTAGGCAAGTTATTGTATAGCGATGGTTTGTTCTGTACACTATCGAACTGCTTTTATTCTTGCCGAAATTAAACAAATAAGACTTTCTCCTGAAGGAAAAAAAATAATATCAGACACACTGTGAAAATTGCCTTGCTCTGTTAAACATCTTTTGGAAAATCATTTAAAAAGAAGAAAAAAATTCAAAGGGGGCTAATAATTCTGACTTCAACTGTACTCTGATTAACCTAGTGTGTGGATTTGTAGTATGGTAAGGTTTGACGGGACGCACAGACGTCATCAACAAAATATGCCTTTTTTACTTCGTTTTAACAGTTTAAAAGCTTGTGAATGTTGCTGTTATGACATGGTCATATGCATGTATTTAAGACCTTTAGTATTGCTGATCCTCGCGAGCCTATTAGAACAGATCAGTACCTACACTTTGGGATGCTACAGGTCACAGATGTTATCTGCATGGAATTATAAAGCTATGATAACGTTGTTATCTAATTTAGGAATGTTTATTTAGTAATAATTAGTAATGTAATAATAATAGGTAATGTACAACTAATGAAATTTTCATTATTTTATAGAGGTCATGTACATTTTATCTAAAATATTGTAATTTATTGCCTTTAATTTGTCATAAAATGACCATCATTAGGAATAACAAGTGTTTTAATTCAGGTATTCAACCAAAAAAAAAAAAAATTGCTTTTATAACTTTGAAGCTGTTCTTGTTTAAAAGTCAATATAAACTTCTCGAGTTCGCACTCACAGATGTTTGACTGAATAGAATATGCTTATTTGCCCTGCTGTCCGGGAAGAGGAAAGACACCCAAACCCTTGTTATTCCCCTTATCAGGATAGAGAGCGAGATAGGTGTCAAAGCACAGTGTCTAGCTTGGCTCCAGAACGCTTTCCCCTCAGATTTAAGTAGGAATCGGAATTAATAGTGTGAAGTTGGTGTGGTGGAGGAATGCTGAGGTTGGGGGAAAACGGAGGTATGAAGTGTTTGACTATTTATAGGGGTTTGGACTTAAACCGATTTAATAATAATATGATTGTCAATTAGCCTCGTCAAAAACTGTTTGTGCTTCTCCTGATATTTGTTTATAAAATATCACATATTAACATATCTTTTTGTTGTTTTTATGCCAAAAAATGCTCTAAATGGCAACATTTTTATTTGAAATGTGGAATAAATGTCATTTTTATTTGATTATGTAAATATGTAAATACACCACAGTGTTTAAGTGGCAGTATTACCAAACCATGATGTTTTTTAAAGGGATAGTTCACCCAAAAATAAATTGTCACTTGTCTTCCCTTTGTTTCAAGCCTGTTTGAGTTTCTTCCGTTGAACACAAAGGAAGACATCCTGAAGAATATTAGGGGGAAATTGACTTCAATAGTCATTTTTTGGTTCCTACAATGAACCTAAATGGCTGCTTTTCCCCCAACATTTATCAGAATATCATATTTAATGTTTAACAGCAGAAAAACAAATCTTGTACGTTTACAACCACTGAAGGTGTGTATAGTAAATGGTGAGGAGACTTTAAGTTTTCAAGTCAAGCTTTATTGTCATTCCACTTCATGTGTGGACTAGAGATGCTCCGATCAGGATTTTTGCAGCCGATTCCGAGCACCTATTCCTTGTCATGGTGATCGGCGGATACCAAGTACTGATTCTGATGCTGCTTTATATAGCATAAAGCATATTTTCCCTCCAAGTATAATACTTGAGTGGAGATCTCGCCATACCTAAGGTAATAAATTAAAGATGTTGCTGTCATGACTGTCAGTAACCACCTGAGGGCACTGTAGTTCGACACTAACTCTAAAAGAGAACTACAGCGCGGCCAAGAACTACATATCCATACATTCCTTCACGCACACACCCGGTCTTCCATATATACTGATTTGCAATCACAGCTGTCTCTGTTTCCTGTTGATTTCCACTTTGCCATTCAACCACTGTTTGTTAGTTCGTCGTTCGTCCTTGTTGGTATGTTGTTCCTGATTATAGTCTTGTATCCTGTCACAGTTGCTAAGTCTAGTTTTAGTTTAATCTGTTTTAGTTCCTTGTTTGTTTGTTTTGATACTTTGATTTTTGGATTTTTGTCTTTGTCACTGCACAATATTCAACATTAAAACTGCACTTGGATCCTACACCCGTTTTTGTTCCTGTTTGAATCCGCCAAATGTGACAGTTGCATATAATTCCTTAAACATGTCTCTTAAAAACATATACCCCCTCCTCTTCCTGTCTCAGCAGCGTGTTTTCACACCTCTAGTTTAAAAAAAACAGTCAGGAAAGTGGGTGTGTCTAGCTCTGTTTAGGTGGGAGTGGCAAAAGAGGGAAGGGTTTGCATAAAAAAGGGAGTTTCAGTTCGGGCACGAGCTGATTTTCACAGACTGCAGGGGAGACACAGGCGCAGGGGAGAAAGACAGTGACTGTTTACATGGACATCAGTAATCAAACTATTTGCCGTATTATTTAGTTTTTAAAATGTTTTTTTTTTTTGCTCAATACTTTAGTTTTTGTTTGCAAAACTTTCTTTTATTTTGCGAGTATATATGGCCCTAGATTGACTCCATAAAGTTGTCTGTTTAAATTCAGCCAATTTAGACTCATTATGCTTTGCGTGTATGCGCAAGGAGAATGCTAAGAACAGTCAGTGGCTGATGCGTGTTAACAGTCACATTTGGACAGCTTTGAAACGATAGTTTTAATCTGTTTTACCTGCTTTTATCACCTTTAAGCTAATACTGTCGTCAGTCAGCACCATCTCCTGGACTGATCATTTAAAAAATGCAATCTAATGTAGGGAAAACAAGCTGCTATGAGGCATTTTTCCCTCGTTGTCAGACGGCATCTTCTGCTGTTTACATGAAGCCTCGTCATTGATAAAGTCAACAGATTCTCTTTCTTTCAAATATATAACCAGCCCAAACTAATGTAATTCACCAAAATGTTTGACACACACACGTAGCCTGTACTGTGCCACTGACACACTAATTTAATAAGTGTCACAAAGTGAAAATAAAGTGATATGATTTGAAATGACAGAAAAACACAAACTGTGGTAAAAACAATACACTAAATGAAACATAAACGGCAACAGCAAATCAGCCAGCAGAGTATCAATAACGTCCTTTTATTGGTCATTTTTGTTGATAGCATGACTTGCATAACGTTACCTGTTAAGTTTCATACCAGAACTCTGGTTTGCTCTATAATGCAGTGAATTATTGCGTGTATTGCACAGACACACACACACACACGCACACACACTGTATTTCTGACGGCAGACACGTGAACTAGGAGAACTTTTTTCTCTTGCGCTTGAACCATATCTGACAGATTATAATGCCGTTAACACACTTTTCAAAGTTGTGTGTCACAAAAACAGTCCGTAATCCACACAAAACACTGTTGACACTCATTGTTGGAGCACAAATTATCCGTTGTAAATGCTGTAAACGGAAGTTCTAAACATTCTACCTTA